AACAGATCTTCTTCAGCCACATCTTTCTAAACCAGCCGTGGTAAATCCGGCCTAGCTGGAAAGCACAGACAGAAAGCCTAAGGCAGAGGTCTTTTCAACATCTGTAAATGCGTTATCCCAAAGGATTTGATGGCAAGGTAATGGAAGTCCATTACCACAGAGATCCTGTAGCAGCACATCTGGAGCTCAGTCATTCTTCAGTAGCAGAAAATCAAGCTAAGAAAACCTAAATGTTGTTCTTTGACTTTAAATATCATCCAGTGGCTAAAAGCAGATTGTAGGAGCTGGCTGATGAGTTCATCCCACATCAAGCCAGGATAATGGACAGCCGAGGTGGCTCTTGCATTACCATCACTTCTCCCTTCTGGATGGTGTCAGAATTCCTTTGGCCATGGTAACTGGGGTAGATGAGCAAGGAGAGTATCCACCTTGTCTTCTCATGAAGGCTGGAGTCGGTCATCAGCCCTGGCAGGGAACTGGTGATGGTGTGCAGGTCTCCTAACAGACACACTAGATGCTGAGGAGGAACTTTAGGTCTTTGCAGTATTATGGGCTTTGTGGAGGCCAGTGGTGCCTGGAGACTTCAGTCTTGTCTTTCTGGATCAATTAGCCAGATTAACTAGAGCATCTGAAGAAATAACATGGGGGCACCTGTACTGGTGATTTTGTTTCTGAAAGGTGCTGGTGAATTTGTGATCCACGGCCCTGAAGAACTGCAGAAACAGAGGCGGCTTGTTTTTGAGCGGGCTCTGCTTGTTGGAGAGCACATGGGACCTGACTTAGAATGTTTGTGGGTAAAAGTATAGGGAAGAGATTAGGCAAAGAGAAATCAAGTATAAAACAGGCACAAGGAAAAACAGACTCAGCAGAGCTACTTTCCTTCTTCTCCCATTTTGAGAAACCGAGTGCTCGATCTCCTGATGTCTTCTGTGCTCTGCCATATGGCACAGGCTGATAGGAAGGAAAGGACAGAAAGCACAGGCTGTTTCCCTGGTCACCCTGTTAATAAGCACTGATGGGAAAGGAAAGGGGAGTGAAGTTATGACAGCTTAATGAGGCTTCTGCGACACGGTTTGCTGGCATGTGGAACTGCGTGTCACAGCGTCTCAGGCTGCGTGCTCAGCATCTGCCAGCAAGCGACTGGGGCCAGCATCCGAAACGGAGGCTGGAGCCTGGGGACAGGCCATCCATCAGCACCGCTGGCCACTTGAAGCCACTGAGCTGCACTGTCACGGCGTGACGAAACTGCAGAAGGAGTGAATAGAATAGGACAGATAAGGAACCGGTCTCCAGTTTCTGTACCAGTTTAGGAGAAAAGGGGAAGGAAGAAAAAATTTCCTGTGGTGGTTTGCTATGAAAGAGAGCCTGAGGATTAATGCATATTGTTACTGTAAATGCTGGGCTGAAGCCCAGAGAACATGCTCCAGCACAACACGTATCCCATGGCGTTTTGATTTCAACCTTAATTTGCTCATATAGGCAAGCCCCAGAAATTCTGTGGGTTAGCTTGATTATGAGCCTTGGATACTTGAGGTAAATGTTTATTCCAGCCTACAAAAATGTACCAGTTCAAGAATAAGACTGACTTGCCCTTTGCCATGGTAACTGAGGAGAGGGAAAACTGAAGCTGTGCATTTTCCCATACAAAGCATATTACTCATGGTGAGAAAACAGCAATTTGTCAGGCTGCTTCATTCAGTTGCAGGCTAGGCTCAAGGGGCCAAATTTTGCATGTAGTTGCCTCCCAAGAGGAGCAAAATGCATGGTTTGGAGCTCTTGTTAAAGAGCTCAGTCATTTAATGTGTTTTAGGTGAGAGAGTAATGAATGGAGGTTTAGGCAGCAGGGAAATGCAGAAATTTATCTAGCTATTTCTTTCTAAAATTGCCCAGAAGTCACACTTTATTTCAAAATACTGTAAGTGCTAACTCTGAAGCCTCTAACACTCTCCTGGTTTCATTACTAGGTGGCTATTATGAGACCAGGAGCCCTTTCTGCTGACTGTAGGGGTCTACAGCTATAGAAATTTGACATCTGTTTGATATTATTATTCCATTAGAAGAGTAAATCTTCACTCCCCTGGCTTTCTTGTGGGCTCTGACACATTCCGCTTCAGTGACAAATGTTCCTTGAGCCAGCAGTGACTTGACAGGGTGGGAGGTACTTCTGCAAAGGAACTGACAAATGGTTTCCATGAGAAGTTGAAGTACCCTCAGGAAGCAGACAGAATTTCTGCATGAACATCAAGCTGAAAAGGAAACCCTCAAACTGCAAGAGATTTGTGGCAACCCAAAAGGTTTTTCCCCAGGTAACTGAATTTGCATGGGACATTATAGACTTGCGCAAGAAATCACAGCAGACCAAAGATCACAGCAGTTCGTACTCACAGGTTTCCTCACACATGGAGGCAGGCTACAATAAAGCAGCATGTTCTTGACCTTCTGAACATTTTCTGCTTCCTTTCATAACAGAAGTGAGAGCTCCTACTGGGTTGCATCCAGTCATTCCAGTGGAAATTCAAGACCAAATGAATCTGTTTCATATAAGTTTGCCAAATCCAGGCTGATAGCAGAATTATTCACCAGCCTGGAGCTCACAGAGGATCACACTCCAACAACGCTTTAAAGTATGCTGGTGGTCAGGATGATAATACAGGGTAATAGCTCCTTTCACTCAAGGATCTCCAAATTCTTTACAGATGTGAATGGAGAAGTGCAAAGTGGAATTTCCCAGCCCCACTTTGCAGAGAACTTTTTGGGGGCTTACCGTGTTCAAGCAATTCATCCTGGCTAAGAGGAATAGAAAAGCTGGGACAGGGGCCCCAGGAACTTGATTCCCACTACTTGGATGAAAGCATTAGACATGACATCACCTCCTCACAAGATAAGAGTTCATTGTTTTGTGGCTGAGGTCTTCTCCCTTCAATGTGGAGATTAGCTCATGTAAACGAACCACAGGGAAATAACAGTCAATCCTTTCCAGCAGCAAGCACAGAGAAGGCAAGTTGTCCTTCTGGCCCTGTCGCTGACATTGCAGGAGTAGTGGGCACAACAAGCTTCGCATTTAACACCACCAGCATAAATCTTGGAGCCAAATTTATGATGGCTGAGACCATCATCTGGGTTCTCATGCCACTGTTCCCACTCTATCATCAACACCAGCACTGCAATACCCCTGTGGTGTCCTTGCCAGAAGGAAGTGAGATCGTTTCCTTGAAGGATTAATTAGTGACTACAATCAAAACAAAGAAACCCCCCACAAATCAACCCTGACAACCCCTACAGCTTTTCTACTTGTAGAGTCTCTTGTGACTTCCTAGTTGTGTTTTACCAGTTTGCTAGCCTCCAAGAATTTCTTCCCCCTAGATAACCCACAAGTTTCTACTACACTGCAATCAACTGACATTTCAGTCAAGTTCCTTAACAAATATCAAGAAGGACAAACCAGAGCACAAACACAAAATTTTCTTCTCTGCAGTCATCCTTCGGTATTTTTAATCCAACAGGCAGGGCAGTGTTACTGTGTTCATATTCACAGATGTAGGAGCTATAGCACTGACTGACAGCAAGTATCTTTACATGGTAAATGGGCAACTGCAGCTGGGTGGGTTGACGTACTGGCCGGCCGTCATTTGGGATGTGTCTACACTGTGCTGCTGAAGAGCAAAGGAGAGACTCCTGTCCTAACAGCAGCATTGCACACGCACGGGGTGCAGCACGAAGCTGCACAGAGCCACCACATCAACAGATGCTGAAATCCTCCGCGACACCCTCATCCCTCTCAAGACTTGGTTCATCAGCTGTGACTGAATGCGGTCCTCAGCATTTCACCCCTCTTTCCTCCATCCCTCCACCCACAGCCAGCTGGGCAGTCAGACCTTACGGAAAGAGATGCTTCTCAGTGGATGGGTAGGTGTTGTCCTTAGAGACTGGACATGATGCCTCCTGCCTCAGGGGAGACAAGATGAACTGAGAGCTGCTGACACATCTATCACCCACTCCCTCCCATTCTGGCAGGAACACACACACACACAGAGCTGGCTGGAGACACAGAAAGAGGGAAAATCAACCCCAGCTCCTTCAGCTGGGAAGAAGACACCCTACAACATCCAGACAGGCAGCAGCCTATTAATCAGGCACAGACTGCAGCTCTCTGCCACTCCTTATCAATATCATCTGCTGCTTTAGGAAAGGCAGAAAAAGCTGCTTAGGAGCTTGGGGCTTTCCAAATATCTTTTTTTCCTCAACAGTTGTTCTCACTTATGGTGACCTCTCCAGATAGTCATGGAGATTTTAATATATTTTCTTTTTCCAGAAAGAGGAACTTAATGCAGTGCAAGAGATGCACATAGGGCGCTGAGGTTGAGGTTCTGCTCTTCCCACATCAAAACTCCCTGGTACATCAGAGACCCTCTATCCCAGCTAGTCAGTAAGAATGGAAATATGCACTCGGTCTGTCCCACCAGTAAAAAGAGAATGCTTGTAATCCTGGCCTTCTCACTCCGCAGGCTTAAATGCCAGCAGGGAAGCTCCTGGTTTTGACAAAGCGGTAGACAGGCAGCCTGCAGACTCACACAGACATCACTGTGTGCAGTAACATGCCATTTCCAGCGGGATGATTTCCTTCACAATGGTGAAAGCTAGAAAATTCCTTTACAAAATGTACACAAACCAAAGTTTAGATTGTGCCTATGCTGAATGAGGCTCATAAATGCATGCTGGAGGCCAGGTATAGCCCACGGGGCACATGTTTGACACCTCTGGCCTATATGGACGGGAAATGGTTATAAATAGTCAGTCCCGTTTCAGTTCTCTGAAGACAAATATTTTTGACACAGAGTGCTCAAGCACAAAGGGTCATTTGTAGACCACCCGGGAGGCTTGCATTTAAATGACCTTTCTTTGCTTGGACGATCAATTATACTAATGTTTATTTCACGAGTGGCAACATTTGTTCTGAACCGGAAGCAGCCCAGAGGAGCCGTGTATATCGTCCCACTTACTTGTTGGTAACTGCCTGCATAAACTCATCAATCAGTTCGTCTGGATCACTCAGGAGAGCCTAGGACACAAAGCAATTCTGTTGACATCTTCTCTTCCATGGGTGAATGGAGATTTATGTCCCAGCCTACCCAAAAAGTTTCTCTGTTGTGGTCATATTAATTTTACTTACTATGCAGTGAAGGCCAGCTCACACAGTTCTTCCTGAACAGAATGTGTTTCCGTAAGAAGCTGTGGACTATCTTTTGGTGTAAATAAAGTTGGAGGGATGTAATGCTTCTTGACTGCTGTAGGAAATGGAGCTCTGCATTCCCAGAACACCTCTACCATGGCTCCCTGCCATGATGCCTCACTCCTAGTGAATAAAACTGACCTTGTGTGGGGAGTGCTTACTGTTCAATCAGTTCTTAATTTTGTGCTGAGGTTACCAGGAAAGCTGTTGACCATAAAAGCGCTTTGAGCAACGAAGATCACCTGAAGTAACCTGGAATGACATGTGTCCTATAGGCCTTTAGGTGCCAGACCTGAGCTAACCAGAACCAGTGATAAGATGCCAAAATGTTCCCAAGTCCTGCACCAACCTAGCACTCACCTGCAGTTATCTGCAAGTGTCAAGGCAAGGTATTTCATACAACAGACTGGTTTATTTTTTGGCTCCTATTGGGAATAAAAAACCAGGCCATTCCTCCAACCAGTCCATCCGGTGTTAAGTCAGGACCCCTAAGCCACCTAAAAAGGACTGGGTCAGCACGGAAATTAGGATTTAGGAAAAATCACAGGACAAGCAGTGGCAGGAGACAGGTGGGCCAACACCTCCGTGAGTCACTGCAAAGCAACTCTGCTTCCCTTCCAACTTCAGGAACTGAATCATCCACATGAGAAGGGGATGAGCCATCACAAACCTATTGTCCTGCAGCCATATGGGACCTAAATATTGGCAGGTATGCGAAAATTAGATCTGTTTTTACAGCCACAGCTGTTTTCCTTCAGAAGGAAAGATGAAAGAGGTTTTCCTCTGAGTTTTAGACATTAACTCTTCAGGGCCATGAAACAGAAAGCAGAGCCATTTGCATTACTTCTCCCATTGCTCCTATAGAGCCATGTGCTCTGGGGCCAGTTCCTGGGGTATAAAATTCTCCCATAGGCAAGCTGAGAAATTCCAAGCTTTGAAAAAAGACCGATTTGCTGAAAGAGTATACAAAGTATTATGGACTGTCAGAAAGACAAGCTGGGAATCGATGCTAAAAATATAATACAACTGCTATATTTACTCCATTCTACCTGAGCTGCCTGTGTTAGCAACACAGTCACCCTAGGCTCAACATATCAGATTTATACGATCTGAAGAGAAACCAGAATATTCATAGGCAGAGATGAACAGGATGAGTGCCTACAGGAGGTGTCTTATTTCTGCATCAATAAGAGTTTAGTTATGGGGCAGGATGCTTGTAGGTAGTGTTTAGGGTCGGGTTAAGCTACGTTTATGCACATGAGAAAGCCATTAAATAAATAAACAAATTATTTATACCATGAGGAAATATATTATTTATATTGATGGAAAACAGCAAGTTCTATATCTTAATCCCAGCTGTGGAAATTGGCCTCACAGAGTTGTTCCTGGACACAAAAGCTACACTTGATCTTGGGCAGAACGAAAGTCCCCAGACTGACTCCGGGAGTTCCTTTCTCTGACACCATCTGACCTTTGGGGATGCCTAAAAATCATTGGTACCACTTTGTATTTTAGTGTTCCCCTGGATGCTGAGATAGAAACAGATGGTCACGGGTCATCAGAAGCTTCCCATGGGAAGGGAAGCACTTAGACCCAGGTCCCTCTCGAGGGGAGCACCAGCGGGGGGCTCAGAGAATGCTGCCACTCGGTGGTGTGCAGACCAGCATGGAGGAGAAGGAAGAGATGAAGGAGCCAAAGTCAAGTACAATGCTTGATTGATTGGAAACTCCAAGAAGTGAGAGACTGAGACTTAATTCCTGCTTTAGCCTCAGAGATCCCACTTTTCAGGAAAGTCTGTGGATCAGTCTGAGATGAGCACACCCTATATTCCACAAGTCCATGAGAAGCCACTGTGCTAAAGGAATAAAATAACCCTGGACCAGAGACCAAAGAGGTAATTGGGAATCTTATCCCAGATGTCACCTGTGGCCACTGATTTTGCTTTCTTTCATTCTTTCCAAGTGTCCAGTGTGAGACACTTGGGTCTGGAGTGAAAGAGGTGCAGAAAACCTTGCTGTCCAGTGAGCGTAGGCATGTCTGAAAATGTCAGCACTCATTTGTCTTCATACGTGAACTCAAAGCTCTTATACCCCAGATTTGTTATTTCTCTGAAGAAATACGTGTTTGATTTACTTGGGGTCAAGTGAGGCACAAGTACATTTTACAAAAATGGACAAAAGTGGGCCATCACAAATAACTATAGGATATTAATTTTTAAAAAGACATCCTCACAGATGTCCATTCTGGCTTTGCTAAAATGTTGCACTTCGGCATTTCTGAGCCAGAGTCATAAGGCAAAAATCTGCAAACAGATGGAATCCTGTTGTCTGGTTATCATGTGCAGGAAAGTGTGCAATCTGACAAAACACTGAAATTAATAATTCCCAAACCACCCACCAGGGATTCTCCGTTTTCTGGAATACCGTCAACTCTACGCAGACAGGAGTATCTGCCTGTTTTCTTACAATTACCAGAGGAAGAATAAATCTGGGACTTCCTGTACAAAATCTTTCAAGTCACCTTGCCATGCCGAAAGGTGGAGCTGACCCTTCAGCTCCAGCTGGCAGCACTCTTGAGTCTTTTCACCAGGGGACCATGAGGCTATTTAGTGTTTATTTCAGTTCCCCATAAGAGCAAATGTTTCTTGAGCATCAAACAGGAATGAAAACTGTCCACCTCCCTGCAGTGCTGGTCTAGCCATCGTCTCATCTCGGATTTCTCTGGCTTTGCCTCCACATTTAGGAAACTGTCCTCAGTTAAGCATTAATCTCAATTCTTTCTCCCCCCATCAGATTTATGAAAAAATGTCTTACCTCATTGTCTGTGCCAACATCCAGCAGGACGGGGAGACACTGCTGTGGGTGAACTCCACCACAAGCTGTGTACAAAGCAAGCTTCCCCACTGGGATACCCATGCCATAACTTCCTAGATCTCCTAAACCGAGAATCCTCTCTCCATCTGTCACCACGATAGCCTAGGAGGATCAAAAAAGACTGTTGTATGGTGTTGCCAAAGCACTAGAAGTAAAACCAGCTCCACTTTCTTCACACCCATGCCAGTTTGCAGTTGCATTCTGCAATGAATATTTGCTCCTTCTACATGACACCATGTTAATTAGCTGTGAATGATAAAGAGCTGTTCATCTTTGGGGGCAGAGATAATGTGGTTGATGGAGCTGCTGGCAGTGTGAGAGCAGCAGCTCTGCTTGCCAGCGCTTCAGTTCACTTGTAGCAGAGCCCAACCAGCATGGCTTGTTGTGCATCCTCAGCTGTATAACATGCAGCATCACAAAAGAGATCTGGCCTTGATTTTTCCTCTCTTCTGGAAAAAGAGCTCGGTATGAAAGTGTTTGTGTTTATGAACTGCATCTGTGGAAGTAGCAAGCTCAGGTCTTCACACTCTTGTAGAGTAGCTGTGTGGTAGCTGACATCAGATAATCAAAACAAAACTCATTATAACTGGGTCCCTTTGCCTCTGGTCCCCATGACTGCAAGGCAGGTAGACAGAAACCATCAGCACAGGGAGGAGCACGGACTGCGGCGGGGCTCCCACATCATGTATTTAATATTAGAACTTTTTTTCCACCCAGTTGGGAGTTAATCAATTGCCATTTAACTCTTCGGGCAATTGGCCTTTTGCATTTCAGCAATACTGTAATGTGCTACCTCACCAAAATCTCTGATCCATAATTTTAGGTTTGTATTTCTTTGTGACAAGAAGGGAAATAAAAGCCCGCTTAATGTTGTCCAAATTAGAAGCCTGAAGTTAAGCTGTTCAACCCACACTGCACATCATTGAGACTTCAGGAGGCAAATGACCAAGCAGATGTGACTGAAATTCCCAATTTTTAGGTTAACTACTCTGCTGGTTTTGTCCCCAGGGTCAGGCACTCTTTGGGGCAGTTCTGAAATCCAGTAAGAACAGGAATATACTGGAGTCCAGGCCCACTGCAGGAGAAAAGCTGCAAATACAATAATGAACTTCAACTTTCAGCACTGTCCCAGCACTTCAGAGAACAGAGTGCTCACATCAAATGGTTTGTCAGGCTGCGGAGGACTCAGGTGCGCAGTCTAGCTTGGATTTCAGAGGAGAGGACTGCAGAGAAATCCTTTATTTGCTGATCTGCAAAGTAAGGCTGAACATACAACATAGGACATACACATGGTGTGTGCTTTAGTGAGAAATAAGAGAATGGGAGGTTAGAAGCTATCTCAATCGATGTACTTCCTTGGGGGGGGGGTGGTGGTAATAAGGATGCATTGGTTTATTGCTGCAATGGAGAAGCATTTTGTTGTTTAGGAACGGAATAAACCTCTTGTTGCACTTCCATATTTCAGGAAGAATTGTACTCACCTCTTTCAGCGTCCTTTCTTATTCAACATAAACTATATATACATCCAAAGGCTATTTTCTCCCTCAACCTAAACCACTCTTTGTAACGGCAGAGCAGAATTACATTACATTGTATAGTTCAGGAATAAGCCTCAGAAGAAACTGCAGTAAGAGGACACATGCATCTGTTCTGCCTTTTACATCTGTTTTGCCCTCTAGTGAAAAAAAAAAAAACAAACCCAAACCCTCTGGTAGTTTGAGGCATGATACATTCCAGGGTTGTAATGCACATAACAATAGTGACAACCAATGTGTAATAGGGAGTATTCTGAAACGGTCCCCCTACATGTGGAATATTTGTTGTTGTGCTGTTACCACTTTCTTGTCACTAGGAGTTAGAATTCCTAAAAGTGATCCTTCAATGAAAAATCTACTAAAACTAAAAGGACTATATACCTATCCTTACGCTAGAGGTTGGACAATCCCTGACATGGGAAATTAATTCATGGCAGTGATACACTTATCCCCCTCCATTTTTGAACATTTTCCCATTTGTTTTTCCTTCTGAGTCAATGTGAAGTGTTAGTGGTGGGAAAGTCCCTTTTTGGGTGGGCTCCATCTGTTTCTGGGTGTGCACTCACTTCTTTATCACACCCAGAGGATGCAATTGGGACTGGAAGGCAGTAATGGGAAAGGGGAAAGCAGCAAGCACACGCACTGCTACAGGTTTATCTTGAAACTGCTGCAAATTACATGAAAAAGAGTTAATATCCTAACTAGGCAGAGAACATTTAAAAAAAAATTAATTAAGTTCTAATGAATCAAAATATTTCTCTGGAGCACAGATCCCCTTTCATCCAAACCAGTAAGTGTTCTCAGGCAAGCCTAAAAACTTCTCAATAGCACTTAGATATTCATCAGAGAGAGAAAATTTCCTCAGCCTTAGATGTGCTGCACTCTATAGGTATCAAAGCTCCTCGAGGTAACACCGAAAAATACGGGAGAACAGAAAATACAGCACGGGAGACATTCATTGCTGTCTGTATCAAACTGGATTCATATTTCTTTGTGGCTCCTCGGATTTAAAAAACACCGAAAAAAGCACACAAAGTTCCAGTGGGTACCTGATGAACAAGCAGATTAAAGTAATGTTTTTAATTGCTCGCATTTATGTGATCAGAACTCAACAAACAGGACATGAATCTCTGGCTGAGCAGGACAGAGCCTTCTAACTGAACCACTGGTTTAACAATTAGGAACCTGTTTTCTACTTCCAGCTGTGCTACAAATTTTCTTGATGACTCTAGTCAAGCCTTTGCCTAAAGGTTAGGTGGGCAGTTTAAGCCAATTATCTAACTGGTTTCTAAACTTCTTTGATAGCCGATGGGGAGAGACAAACCTCCAGAGTGCACGTCCTCCCTCCAGCAGCTGTTTTGGGAAGGGATGAAAGGGGTATTTCTCTTTGAAGATGCTCATCTTCATCGATCACTGCAAAAGTACTCACGAGCTGAGATTAGGCACTGAATCTTCAGGCAGCTGATGTTAACTGAGATGACCCTGGACCATAGTCTGTATTCAGCCAGCTGCTGTAGGTAGCTAGCCCAGTTTTGCAACGCCTAAGTAGGAGACATCTGATCCAGCAGAGTGATCCAGAGCTCCAACATTGATCTCCAAACTGCCAAGGCAATGGAGAGGGGCAAGTGCTGCCGTTGGCCTACCCACTTCTCTATACTGATTGCATGAGGTCAGCCTTGCTAGGATGAACTGATAGTCTGCCTTGAGTGCACCAACAGAAAACGCTACATGGAAGGATGAGTCTGAACAGCCCTGTAGAGCAGTAATCCTGATGGGGATTCAAGATGCTGAGTGCACTTCTCAGGGTGAGCATCCTGTGGAAGGAGGGAGGGAAGGTAGGAAGGCCGGTCCAGTAGCTTGCAGGGCAGCACACTAGTCTAGGTATAGGAGATACGGTTTCTACATTACCCTCACTTTGACGTGGTTTGAACTCATAACTGTCATTCCTCAAGATGACACCCTACCACAACACTATCCTGTATGATTCTCTGCATTCCCCCTGCTCTAGTTGGGCCATCATGAAGAAAAGAGTATAAGATGAAGGAACCAGAGAGAAAATTAGCAAGGGGAAGCAATGATGAGGGCTGTCAGCATTCTGTCCAATGCTTCTTAATGGTAGGATTCATTAGCCACTCTGGGAGAGACACAAAAAACCCATGCTCCCACATGAGTATGCTCAGAAGTGGCTTCTTAACGCTTGTTCTGCTTCTGGCACTCTTGATTCTTTCAGAGCAGCTCAGCTTCAACAGGATGGATGGAGGTGGGGCACATGGGAGCTTGCCTGAGGCTTTGCTAAGCTAAGCAGAGCACCCTTCCAGCTCTTCCAGGCAGAGGATCCAGGCCTACAACCCAGATTTCCCATTTCCACAGTAAATGCTGTTGCCGCAAAGCTCTAAGGAGCCACAAAGCAAAAGGGGCAGAATCTTCAGGTATTTCTTCACTATCTTTAATGGCACTTACTGGTGTTAGTGTTCAGCCTTTTCAAAAAACCGTGTCCCTCCAGGGACTTAGGTGCAGTCCAGGTGCCTCCCTACTTATCTCAAAATCTCAGGTGTTCCAGTGCCTACCAGTTCAGGCATGGAGACAAATGCACACAGAACCCTGCGGTCCAAAACAGTGATACTGATGAAATTAACTGCCTTTGTAGTTTGGCAAACCTGGAAAGTAGATAGTCTGAGTCTCCTCCATGGACCACTGCCCTTCCTATGGTCTGTTTTGGGTGCCAGAGGGGGCTCTTTCAACAACAACCTCTAATCTTGCTGTGCCAGTTTCCCCATCTGCAAAAACATATCTATTAGCCGTAATGTGTTCTGCTCATAGTCCTGAGTCAGAAACAAATGGAAATACTGAGATCTTTGGACACAGAAAGGACAAAATATCTAGTTTGCATCTGTTCTCCATGGTTCCAAAGACAAGGTTATAGGAATATGATTACTTTTTCTGGAAACATGTTGAAGTCCCCCCTTTTTTTTTTCCTCTTAGAAACGGAAAATGCTTGCAACAATTTCTCAGATGCCAAACCTTCATTCCTGGAAGAAACAGTTGACTGATAGGGGATGAAAGCTCTGTCAATAGCCAGGGAAATTTCCTAGGCACATGTATTTTTGGACTGATGGAAGCAGGTGACTGGCAAGACCTGTCTTAAGTGTTGACTTTATTTCACGCCAGGGACTTGCCCAGCCCTGGGCTCTAGTGAAAAACACTTCACAAGATCACTTTTTGGGTGGGGTGTCAGTAATATTTTCAGCTGCTGGATATCAAACGTTATTTGCAGAGTTGGCAGTGTTCTGGATGCTGCATGACTCATTGGATTTGGGAAGGAGTCCTACAAGCAAGTCGGTTACAGAGACATCTTAAAGAGCTTTGGTGCATCTAACAAGCTGCTAGTTAGTCACAGAGTTCTTCGACACACATATTTTACTTCTTTGCTAGGACCCCTATTCTGTACCAATTTATTATCACACACACTCTTTTTATTGCCCGAGGTCCTGGTACCTTTGATAAAGATGTTCTTGACCACATCCCCCCATGACAGAGTCTCTGAAGTCCAACCAATAGCCTGGAAACAGTCTGAGGAAAGGAATATTTTTTAGCTTGTCCTTTTAAATAGGCAATTCTGTAAATAATGCCAAGCAGTTCCATTCAATATCCCATTTTCCACCCAACTCCCTGTAACTTCCCAGTCCACAGAAGACATGCCACATACCTTAATATTTTCTTCAGGCCAAGAGTTTAGCATTGTTGCAATATGGCCTTTGTCATGGATGGTGATAAACAACCCCCTAAGAAAGATAAAAAAAAGAAAAATAAGTCTTGTCATAAAATGAATAACTGCAAGATAAAATAAAACAGGTGAAACTTGAAGAGGCAGGGAAATGAGCTACTGAGCACAAACCCAGGCTATTCACTGGCATGGAAATGACACCTCAAGGGACTGCTAATAACAAGTTTAGTTCTCATTTCAAAACCCCAAGGCTCAAGTTCTTTAATGGCAATTTCACTCCACAGCCACTGTGTTGCACATTTCACCCTTGTGAAACATTTTTGCTTCAGGGAGCAAACTCTGCTTAACTGCGGAAGAGCTTTCTACTTAAAATAATTCTGAGAAATGCAGGGGGGGATGACGATTTTACCTTAAACCTTGTTATACATTTTTTCCTGGGGACCTTATTGCTGGCAGGTCAAACAGTGAAAGCATGATCCAGCTACCAATGTCAACGATGTGGATGGCTATTTCAGAGCTAGAGGTTTCAGGTCCCCTCTCCAGTCAACAGAGCTCCGACTGGATCCGACTGGATCCAATTTGATCAATATTGGGATTGGCATTTGCTTTGATCAAGCTAAGCCTGCTCTTGCAACACCATTTTTTTCCTGAATATCTGACCCCAGTTTTTGCCACTTGCATTCACCAAATGAAACCCACCAAAAATTATGAGGAGTGAAACAGAAAATTAAATGTTTGGGTGAAACCTCAGTATGAAGTATTTGCCCGGACAATAGCACACCTGACTGCACTAAGGCTAATCACTTCTCAGCACAAAGGTCTTCATTGTTTAAACAAAAATGCCTTCTTTTTAATAAAACTAGGAACTGGAAGACAGCATTCTTGGAACATGTTTTAGACTTGGGGCTTATTTTTTTTGAAGCTCCTTTTAGGCAGTGCTAACCCCAAAGAAACAACCTCCTCCATATCTGTCTTGGGGGAAATCACTTGCTTTGCTCACCGTGCTCTCTGATCAGCACAAATCAAGGGCTCTAACTCCATGACTCCTCTTGGCAGGTGGAGGCACCCATTTTCCTTGCTTTGTTACCTGCCCACAAAAGCAGGAGCTGGGCTGGTGATTAGTATCAGTTGGGGCAATGGAGAAATGCATTTTTGCTGCTTACATCTCTCTACTATTGCTCAGCCCCAGCAGGTACAGATCAGCTCACGCTTTGGGGTTCTAATATGAAATATTAGCTAGAAACCCCCTCATTTTTAGAGGCTGAAAACAACTTCCATTGTAAGTCCATATGAGTGACAAATCATTAAACATAATTGGGCTACTCTCTACAGCAAGGACTTTTCTCGCAAGACTCTGCTAGGGGGCAGATATCATCCCACAGTTAACTGTGGGAATCCCAATGAAAAAGCCCTTTACTTTGAAAAGAAGAAAAATAAAAAGTGCTGATTTCAACACTGAGCAAGTCACAATCACACAGAAAGGTCAGAAATAAAAAAAAAGAAAAAGAAAGTAATGGTTCATTTATTCAGCATAATTCTTTACAACTGTGCCCAGTAACCAATGAACTAATCACATACACATGGCCTATGTCAAAGGCAGTATTCACAGATGTTAATCTTCATAAAAAAGGGGTGCTGTACTGTTGCCATCTACGCTTAGAAAATAGTTATTAACCAGAGATTAAAAGCACAAATCAGTGACATCATTGCAGAACCTTCAACTTACGACATGCTTTTAAAAGGAATGCTCTTGTTTTAATGTAACATTTTCCATACACAAGAGAGACACCTATTACTTAAGTGTCTAGCTGCATGTCATACATTCACATCTCTTCAGTGCTGAAGGGAGTCCAGCAGGTACTTAACCTTTGAAAGACATCCAGTGCTCACCAGGAGAAGCTGAAACCCAACTGCCTACCCACCACCAGCCCTGCGGCTTGATGAATTGCTGGCTGTTTCCTACGAAGAGGATCCACTGCCTCTGAAGAGCTCCTGACTCTGACCGTTGTCTCGGGAGGGCAGTGGGCTGGTTTCCAATCCCAGCTCCGGATCTGGCAATAGAGATCAGCCTGTCTTCCTGGGTCTTCCTGAGTCTTCCACAATCTGATGCCTGCTCTCAGTATGTTACATGGGAGAAGGGCTCTCATGGCTATCACCACAGCATGTTTTGCCTGATGAAAGACTGGTTTGGCTTAGATAGCCAGGTCAATGACTGAGAACCAAGCACGGAGAGGCGCCCCTCTCACTCAGAATTTGTGTTCCCTTCCTTAATATTATGTTTATTTGATGTTAAGCAGGCCCTCTCATTGAGTATGCTGACTTCCATTGACCCTTTTCTGAAAACAAAATGTCTACCACACACCTTCATTCTCCCTTCAGGCCCTGCCATTGACCAGATCCCTAGTCCTAGGTGCTTACCTCCACTGTCATGTGGATGGAGCGATTCAGGTGAACAATTACTTCACTCCAGGCAAAATCAGATGGCTTGATTTAGACTAACAATTAACACACTAATGGCACTACCAGCTTTGGAAGGGAAACCTTCAGGAGCAGAAATGGTGGTCCACCTGGGGAAAGTGGCTTCCCTCACACAACCACATGGGGAAGTGGGCATGTACCTAAGCAAGCCTCTTACCTCTCTAACACTGAATCCAAGAGCCAAGGGCCCAGTTTCAATAAACCACAAAAGTTTCCAATGCCTTTAGGGACCTGGCTGGAGCACATTCCTGACCTTGGTCCAGGAACTGTGGACTCCATCAGGTGTTCAGAAGGGGACCCTGGCAGTGGTGAACTGAAAGTCCCTTTGTAGGCCAAGTATGAAACAATCAACTCTGACAGGCAGCCCAGTGGACTCACCGTGTTTTTAAGAAGATGCAAAGGGAAACAGACACACGTCAGTCTTGAGATTCAGGGGGCACAGGTAAGTCCTCATTTTGTATGGTCCCCAGGAGAGTTGTGCTCTCCCCCCGCTGGTGACAACAGTTACCCACAGAGATGAGCAGGCCAGCTTGTTGAAATAAGATGCCAAAAATTGGCAGAAGGTTCATCTTTCCTAAAATCCCTTCCACAAGGCAGGCAGAAGGAACAGGCAAGCTCTGCAAACTGAACTCAGGAAAAGGTTTGCTGATGGCTGAAGAGGGAAGAGCAGCAGCCAGGCTTCTCCCGAGGGTGCACAGCTTATAGGAGAGGTAACAGGAGCAAAAGCTTATTTGTGCCTTTAAGGGCAGCAAGCTCTGAATACCAAGAGTGACAGGCTGTGTGGACCAGTAGTAAATAAGAAACATCCAAACAGCAACAAAATCAATTAACTTAGTTTTTTTTTCTGAGGAAAAGATGCAGCCTAAGCACTCTGAAGAGGGAATGCAACAGATGCTGCCTTTATCATCATGCCTTCTCCATCTCTTTTGGGATTACATTTGAAAAATTGCTTTGGAGAAACAAAAAGACGATCCCCTTGGGACTCAATAAAAATGATTCAATTAAAATAAGGCACTAAAAAGGCACGTAATTTTGATCGAGTCACGTAACATGGGCACAGTGTGGGGAAAACACACATCCTGGTTTTCCGGGATGGAAGACACACACCTGTGCCCAGGATCCTGCCATTCTACACGGGCTTAGTCATTGCATATCTTTATCCCCCCCAGAGAAGCAGCTATGCACACAGTTAGCTGGAAGCCAAACAACGTGCATGGGGATAACAATACAAGAAATAGAGCTTACTAAAAATTAACTGCCCTGGTGACATCAAGCCAGAATGTACAGGCTGTACCACTATTTCTGGCTAAACAGTAACCTTCAGCGAGCTGTTACCTTTGCGGGGGTAATTCAGAGCGGGGAGTGCTCCAACCCGCATTCGTTAGCGGTTGAGAGCTCTGGTCTCCTATTCAGTCCATTAACATCACAGGTTCCACTACAGCTGCCTCTAGTTAAGGTGGAAGTCAGGCTAGATTTTACTGTGCCACTAAGCACATCCGTAAGGTTCCAGGAAACTTCGAGGAAAGTTACAACTTCTTCATTTGTCACTGAGACAGTATTTCTGTCTGGATTTCAGCAAGCCAAGTCAAGCTGCCCGAACTGGACTGCAGGATCCAGCAAACTGTAGATCATCATTGCAGAATCTGTTAAAGGGATTGGATATGTTCACCTACACCACAGAAGACCTTTCCTCATCCCTAAGCTAGGAACATTTTCTTTTTCTTTCTGATTTTGTTCTGGCTGAGTTCATGGAAGAAGTGCTCCAGGAATTACAAAGCTACACAGCTTAGCATGTGAGCCATGGGCGGGATCCTGCTGTGGTGCTCAGTACTGGTTAGATCTTGGCCATCCTGCTGGCATTTTGAAAGACCCGCAATGAAGATGATCCCAGAATTGCAAGGCTCATTTTAGAAAGAGTTCAAGGATAAGGGAGACAGGACACATCTGATGCCCAGAGGAAGCAATGCCAGACACTGATGATGGCTTTTTAGAACAACATTCATTCCTTTTAGACATTTGGGAAGGAGCAAGTTTTAACATATCTCAGGTATTAGGAAACCGAAATATTCTTTAATGCTTTCATTCAAGGAGCGGTTACTTCTTCAGAAAGGCAAAGCAGTATTCCCCTTTCTGATCTTCGTGGTTAGCAATGCTGCCTTGTGAGCTATTTCCCCTCAGCAGATACGGCGGAGCCTGGAGTGCTATCTCCAAAGCACTATTGGTCATTTACAGAGAATGTGCAAAGCTTCATTTCCCAAAACTCAGAGGGGAGTGAAAAAGCCTCACAGCTTTTTCTTTCCTCACAGTTCCAAATGTTTCCTCACTTCCCTTCTACCCCGAAGTCGCCCCCCCGCCTTTCCCCAATAGCTTTTCCTGGGCAATTACCAGTGCTTCTGTGGCTGCGTTTGCAACCCTCCTGGTGTTGTCTTGCCCCACTTTTCTAGCCTACTTCTGCCTCTGACATGCAGTCAAGCAGAAATCCAGTGCAATCAATGCCTTTGTGTTATCAGGCTCCTCTTTGGCCAGTGTTGCGCTCCTCTTAAAGTCTTGTCCTGTGCTGTGGGTTTGGGTAGCCCTGCT